CAATGGATAAAGCTGCCATTCAAAAATTATCAAGACAATTCTACATAATTCACAAGGATAAAAACAAACAAACAATGAGTATATTACACATTACACAGTCAGCCCAACTTTATTTTTTATATCAAAATATCATGAGCAGTGTTATATATTTCATTTAGGCAAACTGCTAGTGGAATCATCAGAAAAAAATGATTTGTCAAGTGTAAAAGCAGCATTGGACATTAATGGATGTGTTTTGTGACTTGATATTAAAGCTCTTAAGAAATGAGTGTACTTGGTAACTCTGTATCAAAGTTAAATATTCAACACCTTAAAAAAAATCATATAACAGGGAAGCAAAAAAATAAATACAAAATAATGGGACAAAAGGAGATTTCATATTGTGATATATATGTGATTATCTCATCAAGCACTTTGATTAGATAGTCAGCATAATGATTTAGTTAATTTGCCTGCAATAAGCATAGTTTATAATAACCATCAATTATTAATGCTGCCATGGTATTCTTAATTGTTTTTTGTTCATAAAAAAACTTCTTTTGGTACTGAAATATTGTTTGCATATATCACCTTCTGTGTATTCAAAGAACTTAATTTTGTATAATGAAGGAATAATGTGAAGCAATTTCAAATGTATTTAGATTTAAATGTATCATTAATATAAGTAAAGTGAATACACAGAAGTAATTACGGTACATGGCAGATGACTAATATAGAAATAAGATGTTATAATACTGAATTCCATATTTAAATTATTACATATTCTAAATATCTACCATTAAACAGCCTAATTTTCACTTAATTCAACTGGCAAAAACAGTCAAATGGAAGGGCTTCTGTTAGAAATTTCGAAGGAGTTGAAAAGTTTGATTAAGTATCCCAAAGCCCCTTTAATTATTACTTGTTTTCCAAGTAGTTGGTTGTCTTGCCTGCCCCTTTTCCAATGAAGAAAATAATAATAAATAGATAAAAAAGGAAAATTACAAGAAATAACTTCACAAGAGACATTCACACAAATATATATATATAAATCATTTTACTATTGTGAAAATATATGAATATATAACTTTACATGTAAACACAGTTTGTGCCTTTGTGCTGGAAATGCTTTCAGTCAATGAAAGTGGTATCTGATAATCATGAGCAAAATCATATCTTTGGTTTTCTCAGACTTGAAATTCCATTCATGTTGATCACTCCAGCCTGTGATATTAGAAAAATAATTGCATAAGTCCTTGTATTGCCATTTGACTTCTTGAATTATTTCACAGGGTCTTGGTTACTTTTCTGATTTACTCTTTATGATCTTTACAAGCTTTTGCATAGACTTCCTTTACGAACTTTTTGCCAAGCGCTTGTTGTATCTTTCTTTTCATATTCATTGCAAAGACACTATTTCTTCACCTTTAATAAAGAATTATTCTTACATATCATTTTAAGATTAAGGATCACCAATTGGCTTCACCTTCAAAGTCTATGGTTGGTGGCGCCAATTTTAAAGCAAAGTCTTGTGATGACCAAATGTCCTGATTCCCTGAAACTGACCCAGAGCTTTTCCAAGATGGGCTAGCCTTAGATATGTTTTCTGTTGGAGGTCCTCCACGTGGAGTTGATAATTCATCCAAAAACTGTAATCTTGATCCTCCAAAACTCAGGGCTTTCACTCGTCGAATGCCTTCCAGCTGGGTATCATCAAGCCCCACCTGTGAAGTTCAAGTGGCATAATTGGCTGCACCTTAAGACTGAGTAGTTACCTTGCTATAAGATAAATAAATATATAAATCAAACAAAGTTATAATGTAACAAAGAAGTCCCAACAATAAGCTTGAATACTGATATATAAAAAAATAATGTTGCTATATATGCATATATACTTCAGCTACACAATTTAGGAAACTGTATGAAGGATATATTTAAATAATCAAATCAACCTGCTGATGCTTGGTGCGTATGCAAATACACTTTGACTTTACTTATTATTTTACCTACTTACCTTTTAACACGATTTTCAGAAATATTTTCTTTTATCTAATATTGCTATAGTAGCATCAATATCATTATAACAATTATATGTCAATGATAATAATAACAGCATTGATATTGATAGCATTAGTAAAAAAAAACATTTTTCTCAAAATCTAAAAGGAAAGGAGAAATTAAATGAGGTGACAAGATCTACTAATTGGTAGCTAAGATTTTGTGGGGCCATATTTCACAGAGCAATCCAACACCAAAAACCTTTTCCCAGCAGAATTGGGTTAATTTTGCTTACACATTAATTACTAGGCCTACCTGATCTGCCTTATCCTTGATTTTTGGAAATATTTATAATTCTTACTTTATAATGTTATTAGAATTATTAATAACATTATGCTATCATACTGCCAATTATGGTAATGAAATTTTATAAAATAAAACAATTTTTCCTCAAAATACAAAGAATGGGGTAATTAGGTGATGTTAGATGGTCTACTAGTCTACCTGCCTTCCAGATTCATTTTTATCAAATATAATTTTTTTTCAAGCAACTTAGGGAGGCTAATCAAATCAACCACATCTACAAATAAGATAGAAATAAACCCAACTCACAGTTGGTTCCTCTACGGAATCAGGTGCTTGTGACTGATCAGCTGCCTGCTCCTCCTGGCTGCTGCCTGTACAGAGCACACAAGCAGGAGCTTCTCCACCACAACGAGCATGATAACTATGACCACAACTGAAAAGAAAATATTGTTACTGAGTTTCTGATCCTCACTTCACATGTTTAGAATTGAAATTACATATTTGCATATACATGCTCAAGTATGAACAATGGATATTTGAGATTATACATGGGATATAAATCCAAGTATAGAAAGTGATAAATAAAAAATAATAAATAAAAGAGAAGTTTACCTATGAGCAACTGCTTTGCTTGATGGGTGGTAGACACTATGACAGATGGCACAGGTAGTTGTATACACAATAAGGGGGGAACATGCTTGACTGTGCTGCATTGTTAAGTAACTTAGTTGATCCCCAGCTATTATTCTGATTACTGTAGCATAAAGGGTTTCTTCATAAACATACCTCTCCACCATACCTGAAACCAAATAATATTTGTCACAATTTCTTGAAAATAGCTAAATTCTAGTTTGGAAATGAATACATTACAATAATTTTATTACAAAGAAGCTTTTTAAAATCTTGTGGAGGACAATATATAATTCTAATTCTTATATCCACAACAATATGCTTTAAATAAACTCATTTATAATGTAGCTATATTCTCCCTACAGGATTGTTGGCCATAAAGATGCCCTGCAGGTTGCTAAGCAGGTTGTTTCCCAGGATTACAGTGTTGTGGGTTTAGTGGAACACATGGAAGTTTCCCTTTTGCTTATGGAGGCTCTTGTACCTCGCTTCATGGTTGGAGCATCACAGGTCTACAGTAGCAGAAGTGAGTATCGCAGGATTCCCTACTATTTGCTTTTTAGGGGTATTCATTAATTCTAATCACTTTAAAATGAATTAATTAAAGATGTTGTTTTTTATGATCACTTCATAAACTGTATTCAGCATCCTTTCTGAGTTTACTGGATTACTATAAAAAGATTATGCTTTAATATATTCTGAGGAGGTAAAATAATCTAGTCGCAGTTTTGACAAATCAATGTTGATCAATTCGCCTTCCTTTGCACAGAACAAAAGGAGCAACTGATGGTTAATAAAAATCAGGAAAAGCCTGAAGTACCTGTGGAAATCCGAGAGAAGTTACTTCAGAGAATGGCTGATGACTTTGATTTCTACAACTTCTTAGAGCAGCGGCTTCACCAACAAAAGAAAACCTTTTTGCCTGATCAGGGAAATGAGTAATGACAACTTCTAGTCACACTAGATCAAAATGTTGGGTTTTATCTGCTGATTCATATATATGAATTACATTGCACAGCAAAGAAGATATATAGAGTATATTCATAATATATATTTCAATCAAAAATTATTTCCTAGTGACATAATGTTTATAAACTACATTTAAAAAAATAATGTATGTCATAATTATTGTTGACCATGTGAAAAAGGAGCATTCTTTTATGAATATTTTTAACTGTCTCTGCTGTGAATTGATTTTAAATTAGAAAGTAATATAGTTTATGATTATGAAAGCACACGGATAGAATGTTAACCTGCATAGCTCAAATGAGGTACAAATGTTGCCTTGGGGCAACCTAATTTGTTCATATTGAACACTGCAATAGGTCTGGCTTCATATTAGAAGCTTATCTGCTTCAGCAGGGTAAATCTGAGGCTACTAATAGTCCAAAATTTAGTGAAATTTGGGTAGGGCTAAGATATTTTTTCACATCTTTTAGTGGGAACAAAATAGCAGGTGCATCTCCACCAACAAATAAAGCTTTAATCTTGTTGAATGCCACTCTGCAATAGTGCAAAGACACTGCCATAGATTTAAGCCAAATTATAAAATTATCTTTCATCCAGTCAGTTATCCTGGCAATTTTTAATCCTTTTACTGGCAAAGGTAATTTTCTACATACAATTAGTTTCATTTATAGAGGGCACTACAGAGGTAATGAATTATTATGCAGTTACTGTATCACAGTTATATATAAATGTTGATCCCAGTCATGAAATTTATCATAAAAAGAAATGTTTATAGACCTATTTTTATAGTTATACAGCTTGAAAAAGAAAACCTGAATGTTAATTGATAAAGAAAAAATTAAATGTACTTTTTCAACCCAAGTAAACATTTATCCTTGTATCCTATTTTTACCTAAAAATATCATTACACTCATTATAATAACTAAGGATATGTATTTTTGAGCATAAATTATGTTATTTAACTAAGGAGACTTTTTCATTTATTTTCATATTAAATTTGTGTTTTCAGTTAGACTTTTTATTGTTGCCTGTCCGAGACCTAAAATCCTGATTCTTTCAGTTAACTGGACAAAGAGAATGATTAATGATTAACAATAAAAGTGTAAAAAATATTTGTCTCTACTTAATCCTCTTCCCCTCCTTCATGCATCATTCCCTGGGTGTAAATTTTGAGAAAAAACTTCCTTGTTCAATCTATAAAAAATCTATAATAGTTGATTACTATTAACCTACTGGAAGCAGATTGTGTGATTACATGTCACACCTCTTTGCAGTCTTCCTTGATTTCCAGAAAGATTGTTTCATATTATTTAACTCTTTTTATTGTAATTAGTATGTTAACCAAATGACTGGGGTGCAATGGGCCTCAGCTCCATGAAGTATGCATGACTGGGCTTGCCTACGGGGCCTATTTCAGATGCAGCTGGTGGATAGTACTAGCTGCACCACACCAACAGAGGCATATGATTCCTTTTTTAATAACTTGAATCTAAAACTATTTGAATGTTTTTGCATATTCAGATGCATGATATTTATTTTTACTGTTAGATGGAACCTGTAGAAGCCTAATTATGTAAATTGGAGTCCGTTTCAATAAATTAGGTATGTTACACACTGTGTAAAAGATGGAATGTGTGTTTATTGAGGGATAAAAACAGATTTTCCCTTTATTTTCACAAATCTTATTCTTCCTACTCCCACTACTTCAGTACTTCCCTTTTGTGTAATAAACGTCCAGACAGTCACACTGGCAAAGTGCCATATGCCAATGAGTACTTAACACAAGGATACTGCTCATGTAAACAAGAGTGAAGATTACTAACAGGTTCAATGCAGCAGCAACAGAACGCAATGTTTTAGTGCATAACATCATCCTGGGATAGCAGGCAAATGATTTATGTACTAAATATTGCCCTTTATACAAAACAATAGCCAATCAGTACTTTATACCCTGTGCTTCTTCAGGCAATCCTATAGAGTATGTGATGTGTAGGCATGAGGATACATTGTAAAGAACAGTAAAAAATGTAATTCTAGTGACCCGCTCCCCCCTCATGGACCACAAAAGCCATGTGTTGTTTATTTCACAAGATTCTAAGATGACATTTGACAAAGTGACTGTAGAGCATGCTAATCCAGCCTTTATTGCTTGCATACATTTCTCATGCTTTTATTCTTGTCTTCATGTATAAATATGTCATGTTTATACTTAAAACGATCCTGAGGAAATGCTGATTCTGAATCACTGTGAATGTAACTGATTTTATTACTGATATTCCAATGTTCTATGTTTCATTAATGGTCAGCCACTCTGTCCTCTAACCACAAGGTTCAGGTTGTAAAAACATACCCATTTTATGTGAGCTATACCCTTGTTCCTTCTTCACGAAACGGTCATGTAAACCAATG